TTTATCTTAATGCCACACGCATTTTTACACTCTGCATATGTTTTTGTCGTTACTGCCACAAAAACTGGCTTAAAAATCCAGCAGAATCCCAAAGACCCTGTTCATTAACCCTTCATAAGATTTTAACTACTTAAGTTACTGCATAGGACGTTCAGAAACTTCATACCTCTTATGCAAAGCAACCAGTGCACTGGATCCCAAGAACAAATGCCCACCTGCCCACCCCAACCCCACAGTCCTGCCAGAGCAAGTAGATAGAAATAAATCCTTCATCAATAATGCCTTCATAATTCAACATTCATGTACCAGGAAAATAAATCCAAATTAGTCCTCAACTTGTAAAATTAACAGGTAAATTATTATTATTTTTTTAAATCAGTTAAAACAGCAGCAGCATATTGCAAACATAAAAACAATTAAATTATAACTTTGAGATATACACATATAAAAACAGATCTCAGTTTTGACTGGATAAAACAACAGATTTTAGAACCTGGTATATACAGTAGATTTTTGTGCATTTACTTTTGGTGAAGAGAGTAAAGCCAAGGAACCTATTTGGGCGTACTTTGACACTTAAATTCTCAGACTGAAACTTTCACAGATTTATATATTTAAAGGAAAACAACAACGAGAGACACCAACCTGAGTAAAACTCTATTAAAATAGAGCCATCATTATTCAGTAAGTTATGTATTGCACCTTTAAATAAATCATTTTAGACTCTATAAAAACAGAATCAGCCAGAAATAGGAGAATTTGCTCCCCTTCTCTCTCACGTGCACATACACACATGCACGCGCGCGCACACACACACACACACACACACACACACACACACACACACACACTCTGTAGTTAAAGCTCAGAGCAACACACCACCCTCCTCTTCCCCTAGCTGAGGCACTGTGATGATATAAGGCCTTGGAGGGTTGTGGTGAAAGGACAGATCACCACTAAAAAAGTAGGAGAGTGTTACTACAATTAAAAGCTTGATATTAGCCTTATTTAAAAATCTATATGCAATCTAAGAGTTTCAGTACAAAAATATAGATCTCTGATGGTTTTTGTCTACAGAGTCTTGACTAGAAAAGGCACAATTGCTATATATAAAACATCCATTTGTAGATGTTTGTACTCCTTTCTGTTTTTTTAAATAAAAAGGAATGCTAAGAACAAATCAAAGATGCATATGCTCATAGCTAAATAACCAGATACAGTAGATAGAATATGTTCCTGACATTTATAATTAAATATATTAACACAGTCTGGTATCTGTATATGAAAATCATATAAAACTGCAATTAAAAAAGAGCCTGTGTCATTTATTACTTTTAATATTTTAAATCTAGTTCATCATTCACCCTGCAATACTACATCACTTACAAGTAGAGTGAAGTTCCCACGTGAAAACAAAATTCCTCTGTTAATTGTAATAACAGTTTCTGCAACTCCCACTAGCATTTTTACATGACATCTTCAAATTAGTCACACACAAAACTGTACAAAACCATGTACAACAGTGCATTTCCCTTTTCTTTGTGAAGGGAAGAATGGCCTCCTGGTAACTCATCTTCCTGTTTGGTTAGGCACAGTAGCCATTTGCCTTCCCACAATTGGGCACTGGTGCAAGATTTTCATAGATTGCCATTGCTGTTGTGTTTTGGTAGATAAGGTCCACTTTTTTGTCCCTCTGGGATTTGATAATGTCCAAAACACATTGGTTTAGGAAGATATACTGGTCCTAAGGAAAAGAAAAATGAAGGACATCATAGACTTTAGCAAGCACCTTGCTCCAGCAAAGCCACAGCTCATAGTGATAGAAGGGAACCTTTTTGATATGGTGAGAAATAACAGTAGAAGCTTAATCTTAGATGACTTTACTTGTTCAAGATTTAGGAACAATCCTAAAAAAAACCAGAAGAGCCATACTGGACCACAACCAATGGTCCACATATCCCAACATCTTGTCTCCAGAAGTGGCAAGTAGTAGAAGTTTTAGAGAGGGTATGAACAGAACTAGACTAGAGTAATCCATCCCCCGGCACACCTTCCCTGACATCATCCATCTTTGGCTTAGGGATATCAGAAGATACAGCCCTATCCTCTATTTAATAAATCCCAATGTGCCTGACCTCCATGAATTTATCTAATCCCCTTTTTTGAACCTGGTTATTCCATCCACCTCAACAATGCCCTATGATCCTTTATGCAAGGGCCAGTGGTAGCTGTGAGAGCTTTACTAAAAGCAAGAGAGGCAGACGGTAGAGGCCTGAATTAGGGGTGCACCAAGGTATTCTCTGCCCCATCAGTGTTTCCATGGTGCTTTGACAGGTGCTCCTTTGTTGAACCACACAAAAAACAGAATTTAGAAACATTCTGGGCACATCTACTACACATTTATTAATGCGCTTTTGCTACTGCACATTAAAATTTAGTACCTCTAATGTGAGGTACTAAATAAATGCGCATCTGGCTGCCCTAATGTGCAGTAGCAAAAGTGCACAGGTTTTTAGTGACACTTAATACGCAGTAGCCTATTTTTACTGTGCATTACCGTATTAGCACAGTTTTTGACATGATGCTTTAATGCACAGTAAAATGGGTTACTGTGTGTTAAAACGCATGGGTAGACACACCCACTGAGTAGTAAGTAGAGAACACCTCCAGTGTGGAATGTACTTCTAAGATGTGGATTCATTATGCCTGTTATGCAGTTATTTTTAAGCATGTTACAGAAAGAGACATTTGCCTTACCTCTGTTTGTACCATTAGTGGCCGATGCATTCGAAGGTCATACACTACACCATACACATCAGCAGTGTTCTCCATTTCTATTTGTTGGATCAGTCGGTCAATTGCAATAAAAGTACCTGTCCTTCCAACACCAGCACTAAAATAAAATGATTGTGCATTAGGTGGATGAACAATAGCATTTTTATAGTATAGTATAATAGTGAATTTTGAGGTATATTCAATTTCCTTGTATAAAGAAGCAGCGAGATGAATCTAGGAAGTTATGGTAAGAATTCTCTTTATACCTGCAGTGTACCAGAGTAGGAGATTCTGGGGGATTTTGCCTTGTGTAATCCTCAACAAGATGTCTAAAGCTAATGAGAAGTTCCGTTGTCTCTGGAACACCATGATCAGGCCAGGCAGTGAAATGGAACTGGCGTACACAGTGACTGTCTGTCTCATTATTCTAGAAGAACATACATTAAAAGGGAAATTAGGCCTCAGAATAATATTAGCAAATAATCACTGTAGGAAAACATTCCTCCTAGCTTAATACTATGAAAGTTACCTTCTATGAATGGGCAGGATTCCCAACTGTCCTGAAATTTATATAAAAACCAAGGCTAAAACCACCTGTCCATACAATCCATAAAAAATGAGCAGTCCGTAAAAAAATCAAAGCCAACAGAGTTTGATTAAAGCTCTGTCATCAAGACCAGAGACATGCCACCTGGTGTCTGAGCAGGAGCACAGCACCCTGAAGTGAGCTCTTTTCAGGGCTTTGTAGTCCACAGAGGTCTCCACAGCTCCCTCCTCCCTGCCCTAGCCACATGCTACTACTGCTGCTGCATCCCATCTGCCTCTGATACTGCTGGGTTGCAGGTAGGCTGCTGTAGGCAGACAGTCTTTCTTTGGGGACTTGTGCCAGGGCAGGAGGAACAGGATTGGCAGGGAAAGGGCCGGGGTGGGGGGAGGGGAGGGTGAAGAATAGTGTGGGTGGTTGGGGGAGATCAGGGTATGGGGGTGAGTATGTGAACCCTGAGGTGTAAAACCACTGGTGAAAGTCAGAACTGGGCACTACTTTAAACAAACATTATTCAAATTTCACCCTTCATTCCTTGAAAGCCAAGGAAACTGATTGGCCCAATAAAGCTATATTTCAAATCAGGTTCTTTTGCCTTCTGCTTTTCCCTCTGGTCTCATTTGTAGCATCTGATGGCAGGAATGTGGAGTTATTTGTTCAGCCTAGGCTCCTGCACTCATAGGCAAATGGATTCCTCCTGAATTTCACACCTTACATTGGTGTGACTAAGGAAAGCTCATATGAGCATGGATGCACACAAGTAGCAGTGGTAATATGGAAGCAGCCAATCTCCTCAGCAAATTTCCATATATAGATTACTTAGTTATACATGGAGTCCTATGCCAAGTGGTAACCAGTATAGCTGAGGAATTCTCCCATAATACAGTTCCTGGAAAGAAATGCAACTGGAGGCTAAGCCATCATCCACGTACAATCCCTTACTACAGCATAAGTTCCCAGACCAATACACAGCACAAAGCACTTTTAATCAGAGATCTGGCACAAATGAGAAAAAGTACTAGCGAGTCCCAAATTAAAACAAAAATGTACAGCTTATTTCCTTTAGCTAAGTTTTACTTTCTTTTTGAAGTTCAGAGAAATAAGTATGTTCCCCCCATTTAGATAGCGTAGCCACAGGAATTCAGTAAATACATATTTAAGTTTTGTCTTTCTTTTCTGTTCTTATACACACAAAGAATTACTCACATCTTCTATTGTGAAGTCCCTTATTGTCCATTCTGCAAGGACAATCTCTGAAGTCATTGTTACAGTAATATCACCATAACTCACGGGTTGTTTGTCTGCCCAATACTGCTCACACTTTGTCTAAGAAGAAAATTAAAGTTATTTGCATTGTATGGTAGCAATACAAGTGATTTTATGGACAGCAAAGAGAAGAGAGATGGAAGCTTTGCAAGGATATGCTGTCTACTTTTTACTCTAAATTAGAGTCTAGTCTGGGGCTGCCGAACAGTCGATCTAGTTTTAAAATAAAATGATCATTATTTTCTTATTACTTCCTAAAAACCTAAAAAAGTAGTACAATTTACTCACTTATATAGAATATATGATGATTCTAGCTGACAATGTTTATTGAAGTTATTATTTCATCATTTACTTCTGCTTTAATGTACTTGGAATGCAAAACATTCATAAGCCAATCCCAACTTATTTGGGGGGGGAAATGTCATCAGTTAAATTTATACTTAGTGTCAGTTAAATTTATACTTAGTGTAACTTAATTGCCCTGTTCCAACATCCTGCTTTAGACCAGTATAGATTTATTCTGCTTTGATGTACCTGCTTGATGTGTTGTGGAATGGTGAAGTACTGTGCCCAGTTCTGAGTATACTTTAAAGAGACAAATTGCAAAGAGTACATAGGAAGAGCAAAAAGAATGATAAGGCATTTGGAAAAACCATGATCTATGAGCAAGGGGTGAAAGGATAGAACGTGTTCAGTTTAGAAGTGAGAGGACTTGGGAGGGGACATGCAAAACATCTTCCATTATGTAAAAGATGGTTATAAAGAGGACAATGATCAACTGATTTGCATGTCCACTAAGAGTAGGATAAGTAGCAAATAAAATTTAGATTAGATATCATCAAAAACTTTTAAAGCATAATGGACAGTGAAGCAGTGCAACAGGCTATGTACAGAGATTCTGGAATCCTTTTTATGGGAGGTTTACAGAATAAGTTAAAAAATTGTTGCTTACAGATGGTCTAAGTACACTTGAACCTGCCTCAGAACAGTGGAATTGATTAGAGTATTTCTTTCTAGCCCTATGTGTCCATGCACCAGACCTGGCACCTGTAGTGGGATTTATACATACATGTCTTCCATCCATCCCTCTGCAGTAGACGCCAACTCTACCTCAGTGTACTCTGACTCTACCATGCAATAAAGATTCCAGTATATTTGTAATTATGCTTGATCCCCAATTCTTTTTTTTCCGAAATAACCCAAATATGGTGATCTTCTGGGCATACTATGCAAGGAGCCCAGCTGAAAAGATGGCTGGAAAGGGTTTAAGGTGGTCCCCAAACCAAAAGAGGCATGAAAATTTGCAGAGTTAATTTCCATTGTTTAATGCTGCAAGGATTATGGTCTTAATGAGCATGAGTTGCAGTTAGAGCCTTGTATTGGTATCCTTTACAGCAAAAAAATCCAAACCAATATTCCTTGGGATACCCAATAATCATTTTTTTGATTCAGTAAGTGCGCCTCATTATAAATCTAAGATTGACTGGAAATGCAATGCTGAAACCAGCTGTGTCTACAAAAGAACATTTTTTTCTTTCACTTATATAAAAGATTTTTTTCTACTCCAGCTGAAGTAAGGGAGCATTTTTCTGCTTATTTCAGTGGACCTAGATCAGGTCCAAAATGAAAACTAATATGTTTAAGAAGACATTCAAGCAAGTACAAAAAACAGTGACCAAAAAGAAAAAAAAATGGATGGAAGTTCAGGTTGCTCATGTAGATGCAACTCTGTCTTTTGAGCACTTCTACAGAATGGTGCTATTGCTTAATGAAGTGGACAAGTCATTCTGCATATTACCTCCTCAGACACCACTAGACCACTTCTGCATTCAAATCCATTGGAATAGGTCTGAATCCAGAACTGAAGCCATAGTTTCTAACATTCTGGATAACTGACGTTTCAGCACATTTGCTATACTGTTTACACACTGGTTTATCTGGTCAAGTGCATTGCTT